TCAAAACATGTTTTTAATCCACTGATGAGTCTAAATGTAGGCTATCAGTTCCAGACCTGAACTCTTTTCTTGAGTCCAGCTGTCCCTGTAGGCCCTCTTAGTCCCTTTTCTTCAACACAGAGAGGAAGCATGCATGGTCTGTCAAAATGTATTACAGTGGCTAAGCATGAACTTACTCTGTGGCTTAAGCAAGTCACTGTTTCTCAGCCTCCATTTGCAGTCTGGGATTGACAGTACTATTCTACCTTAGAATTAGACTACTGATGACTTTTCTCTGCACTGTGATAGAAGAAACTGATCTGTGAGCACTAGTCACTTCCATCCATTGAAATGAATGGGCTGTCTTGTGTACTAGAGAGCATTCTGTGCATTGGACTCCATGTAGACCTCTAGATTGGCATGCATATTTAGTTTATTTAGAAAGATGATCATTTTCTTTGCATATCACTCTCCTGTAAAGCATAATATGTGTCTTATTTTAAAGGGGTAGCCAGGTTAGAACATAAACATAAGAACATAAGAGAAGCCAATGTTGGATCAGGCCAATGGCCCATCTAGTCCAACACTCTGTCACACAGTGGCCAAAAAGACCAGGTGCCATCAGGAGGTGGCAGTGAATTCCATGTGTTCATCACTCTTTGGGTGAAGAAGTACTTCCTTTTATCCGTTCTAACCCAACTGCTCAGCAGTTTCATTGAATGCCCACGAGTTCTTGTATTGTGAGAAAGGGAGAAAAGTACTTCTTTCTCAGCCTGCTCTATCCCATGCATAATCTTAGAAACCTCAATCATGTCACCCCCTCAACTGTCGTTTCTCCAAGCTAAAGAGCCCCGAGTGTTTTAACCTTTCTTCATAGGGAAAGTGTTCCAACTCTTTTATCATTCTAGTTGCCCTTTTCTGCACGTTTTCCAATGTTATAATATCCTTTTTGAGGTGTGGTGACCAGCACTGTACACAGTATTCCAAATCAGGTCGCACCATTGATTTATTCAGGGGCATTATGATACAGGCTGATTTGTTTTCAATTCACTTCCTAATAATCCCCAGCATAGTGTTGGCCTTTTTATTGCAGTTGCACACTTAGATATTTTCATTGAGTTATCTACTACGACTCCAAGATCTCTCTCTTGGTCAGTCTCTGCCAGTTCGGACTCCATCAGTGTGTATTTATAGTTAGGATTTTTGGCTCTACTGTGCATCACTTTGCACTTGGCCACAATTAACCCCATTTGCCATGTTGACGCCCACTTGCCCATCCTCAACAGATCCCTTTGGAGTGCCTCACAATCCTCCCTGGTTCTCACCACCCTGAACAACTTCATGTCAACCCCAAATTTAGCCACTTCACTGCTTACTCCCAACTCCAAATCATTAATAAACAAGTTAAAAAGCATTGGGCCCAGTACTGATCCCTGTGGTACCCCACTGCTTACCACCCTCCACTGCGAAATTTCCCATTTATACTTGCTCTCTGTTTCCTCTTAATTAGCCAGTTTTTGATCCACAAGAGAACTTGTCCTTTTGTTCCGTGACTGTGAGCTTACTTAGGACGTTTTTTATGAGGAACTTCATGAAAAGCTTTCTGGAAGTCAAGCCAAACAACATCTATTGGGTCCCCCTTGTCCACATGTTTGTTTGTTCACTCCCTCAAAAAACGCTAACAGGTTAGTGAGACAAGATCTTCCCTTACAGAACCCATGCTGAGTCTTCTTCAAGAGTTTTTGTTCATCAATGTGCCTACTAATACTTTCCTTAATAACGGTTTCCACCAACTTACCCGGTATCGACGTCAAACTGACTGGCCTGTAATCCTGGATCTCCTCTGGAACCCTTTTTAAAGATGGGAGTGACATTAGCTACCCTCCAGTCCTCAGGAATGGAGGCAGTTTTTAATTAAAGATTACATATTTTTGTCAGGAAATCCACAAGTTCACATTTGTATGCCATCTGGGCCTGGTGATTTATCAGTTTTTAAGTTGTCTATCAGTTGTAGGACCTCCTCTCTCGTCACCTCAATCTGACTCAGGTCTTTCAGCACCCCTGCCGAAATCAGTGGTTCTGGAGTGGGCAAGCACTTCTCATCTTCCACAGTGAAGACAGAGGCAAAAAATGCATTTAGCTTCTCAGACATTTCCCTATCATACTTCACTACTCCTTTTACCCTTGGTCTTCCAAGGTTAGTCTGTCATAGCAAAATAAAACAAAAAACAAAAATATTAACATTTATTACAATATGAGACAGTCCACTTCTTCAAAGAAGACATAAAATCATACTGGGGAAAATTATTGGGGGGGACACGAATGCAGAGGGGCGTGGTGAAAATTCCAGCATGAATCTTTCAAGTGTTAATTCTCAACATAAGGGGAAAAGGGAGGGGGAAAGGCAGTAGGTATAAATCCTGTCATAAATCAACAGAATTAGCAATTGAAATAGGATACATAGATTATCCATTTTAACCTCTGACCTCTCATCCATTATGAATAACTGCTAATTTTGTTGATTTATTATATTTGTATCCTTTCTAACTTTTATTTCCTCCTTACATTTGAGAATTTACAGTTGAAAGATTTATGGCTTTACTCAGTCTCCCCCATCCCAGATAACCTTCCCCTTAAGAAGAATTCCTAGTATACTTTTCCTTCACATACCTATCTGAAGAAAAAAGCTGTGACTCATGAAAGCTGATATTGAAGTAAATGTTGTTAGTCTTTAAGTTACCACTGGTTTTGTTTACCTTATTTTAGAGAGCACAGCTGCTATAGATTCTGCAAATCAGATATAACTTGGGTTTATAATAGTTTATTTGAAATATTAGTCTTATGTCCTAGCACCTTTTAATACAATCATTTGAAAACATCTATAAAATAATTTTGGATTAAGTTTGTTGTTGCCTCTTTCTTTGGCCCTAGGGTGGAAAAAATGAACCGTGAACGTCTCCGACAAAAAAAAATTCACTCTACTTTAAAGGAGAGCAGGCGTGTGGACTTTGACCAGAATGGGTGGAAAAAATGGACCATGAACGTCTCCGACAAAAAAAAAATCACTCTAAAGGAGAGCAGGCGTGTGGACTTTGACTGAATGAATTTGGAAAAGAGAAGCTGGCTCACTTTCCTCTGTTTCTTGAAGAGATCAAACCACTTTAACTAGTTCTTTATGTAGAAGCAAAACATGCAACACAGCTGCTTTTTGTTTTTAATGTAATGGACAGTTATCTTCAATAAAACTTTTAATATTGCTCTTGGAATACAAAGAGGCAATCTGAACTCTACCACAGTGACATAACATCTCTGACAGTGATTAAATTTCACCTGCTTAACTCAGATATTCTTAGCCTTCTGTTCACAGTGCATTTTGTGCTTGCTGTCTGTTCTGTTATCTTAATTTCTTTTGTGCACTTTTTGTGTATCTGCCTCCATAAGGAAAGTCACTCTTTCTTAAGTTGACAGTGACACAACCAGTTTTTTTAGGGAAGATGTTTGCCAACTTGAACGGTTTACTCACGACTTGCTGAAATTGAATCCTATGGTCCTTGTATGTTCCTTCTCCACATGTTTTCAGTGACAGCCGAGCCTCACATACTGCTCCAAAAATGCAGTATGCAAGAATGAGATAATGCCTTCCTAATACATGTATACAAAGGGAAATAGCCTCTCTTCCATTCAATGCAGTGTGCTTTTCCAACATGAATATATGCCATGTTGGAAAAAGAAATATGAAAAGCCAGAAGCATCTCTAATGAAAGGGTAATTATGCACAAAGCTGTCTAGTTATTAGGTGACAGTAGTCACCAAAACAAGTGTCAGCTATGCTGGCATAAAGGGGGGGGGGGGTCTGACAACAAGGCAGGTAATTGAGACTTTTTTATTCCACAGTACATGGTGAATACTGCCAAATAAGAAGGGGACCAATTTTGGGCGTTCATTGGCAGATAGAGGTTGACAGGCTCTCAGGGACTTCAGTGCATTATTGCTGTTTGCCTTCTGTAAGCAGTATCAGCCTGCAAGAAAAACAACAGGGTTGACAATTGCATAATCTCCCATCTTGAGGCCAGCCTTTTTAATTCACTTTTTAAAATATGTGTGTCTAGTCCTTAACGGTTGTGACAATAGGTTTGAAAGGTTTCAGCAGTGCTAGGTAACAATTAAGGCTTTTATGTACAGCCTCAAGGCAGCTCACAGAGTAATGAAAAAAGTAAACAGCATTAAGACTTCTAATGAACAATGTGATAGAGCTAGGAATACAAACTTCAATGACACTGAACAACAGTGAGAATAGCAAACTAATGCAAGATACTGGGTAAGCAGTGCAGAATGTTGAATTGCAAGGTATAGGACAGTACAGTAAAAGCCAGATGATGCCAACAATAGCCATTGCAGTGAGCTACAGACCTATAAGAACCTGGCAGTTTTGTGCAGTTGGAGGAGAGGTTTAAGAGTTCTGGGTAACTTGGCCATTCTAGTGACGAGAAGAAACCCTAAATTATGCAAAATTAGCAAACATCAATTCACAAAGTAAAGAGCAAGCTTTTGAGTTCCCCAGTTCTCTTCTGGCTAGATGCTCAATAAAAGCAAAGATGAAGGAGAGGGAAGACATACTATGTTTACTGATCATCAAGTTCTGGGGAACTCAAGCAAGTGGTAGGGTTGCTGTGGATGCAAAGAGGCAATAAGCAATTAAAGGGCGAATTTCAATAATGCTGGTGAATAGGAGGGAGCACCAAGTGTGAAGACTTTAGCTGTCTTACACCTACTACAACTAAATAGAGCTTATTTTTTAGTAAATAGTCTTCGACTATTCAGTGTGGAAGTTGACGTTCCAGAAACATGGGGGTTGTGGTGCTGTAAAATACTGTGTGTAGCCATTGTGTGAGCCTTGGTAAAATGAGATACAGGTGCCTGTATTCCAAGGCTAGAAGTCTTGAGTCAAGATCAGGGAGCTGGAATGCTTGGTGCTAAATGACAATTTAAATACAGTGGGCATTTCAGAATCCTGGTAGAATGGGGAAAATGAAAGGACCACTTATTCCTGAATATAAGGTCTATAGACAGGACAGGGAGGCATGTGTTGGGGGTGTTGTTGCTCTGTCTATCAAAGACAACATAGAGTCAAATAAACTAGAAAGCATTAGCGGAAGAAACTCCTCCATGTAATCACGATGGATAGAGATACTAGGCCCTAAGGGTTACTTAAAAGTGGTGTACTATTACCACTGTGATCAAAACTAGGCTGCAGATCTTACAATGGAGAGGTGGGCGAAGGGAAGAAAGTTGTAATATGAATGACTTCAACTGCCATTACATATATTGGGAAAATACGTGCTCAAGTCATAGTGTAGAAACAAGCTTTCTAGATGTCATAAATGATTGCATTGGAGCAGTTGGTCACAGTGCCAACTAAAGGTGTAGTTATTCTGGAGTTGTTTCTGAGTGGAGCTTAAGACCTGGTATGATATATAAATATTGTTGCACTGATTGAGAACAGTGACCACAATATTAGGTTCAGCATTCATGTTAATGGAAAGTTGCTCCCAAAGTCTGAAGCAATTACTTTTAATTTCAGAAGTGAGAACTTTGCTAGTCAGAAGAAAGTTAAAATGGAAATTCAAGAATCAAATATTTCCATGATGCCTGTAAACAATTTAACCCACAACAATTGAGAGCATACCTCAAATCTGGAAAGGTACCATCAAGCCTCAAAATATGCCTGTATGGTTAACAACTCAACAACCATATTAATGACCACAAGCAGAGATATCTTTAAAAGGGGGGTTAGACAGATTCATGGAAGATAGTCCATAAATGGCTACTAGACATGGTGACTAAAGGGAGTCCCCATATACAAATACAGAAAAACTATACCAGTTAGGGTTGCCAACCTCCTGGTGGAACCTGGAGATCTCCCAGCAGTATGACTAATCTCCAGCCTACAGAGATCAGTTTCATTGGAGAAAATGGCTTCTTTGAAAGGTGAACTATGTGGCATTATACTCTGCTGAGGGCCCTCCCCAGACTCCACTTTCTCCAAGTTCCATCCCCAAATCTCCAGGAATTTCCCAACTTGGAGGTGGCAACCATAATACCGGGTTTGGGAGGCAGCAGCCTGAGAAACCCTCAGCGTCTGTGCCCTCTTTGTTTGGTCCTCCAGGGCAAGAAGTTGGCTGCTGTGTGAATCAGTATGCTGGGCTAGATGGACCACTGATATAATCCAGCAGACTCTTCCTGTGTTCTTATGAGCCACTGTTCAGGGCTACTGAAACAGGAGGGGACTGAGAGGACAAAATTCCTGGGGCACAGGTCAGCTGGAGGCCCCCTGAAGCCACTGGCATCATGCTGCATCCAGCTGAATGCATTTACTTTTTTCCTAACTCTAATACAGATCTGCACTGCAGCCACCAAGAGGTTCAGCAAATAAGCAGGATTTGTTCTGAATTTACTGGTTGGGCCTTTCTGCAACCTTTACTGTCGCGGGGGAAACCTTTGCTTCTCAGATCCTGCTAAACCCATCACATCAGCCAAGCCAGCACTGCAGGAAGGCAAGCCGAGCCAGGACAAGCTACAGTTATTGCCAGAATGCAGCCTCCTAATAAAGCTGTTATCTCCAGCAGTCTAAGGTTTCCCTCCTCCTTTAGTTACACCCAGCTCCACAGTTTTGTCTGCACAGCCAGTCTTGCAAAGGGAAAACCTGTAAGTGTGTGGTAGCAATTTTTTTTAAAAAAAACTTTCATCGACTTTTCCTTAATTCCTCTGTTTAACTCCATGCTTTCCTCCTCCTTCATTTTGTTCTCTTCCTTTCATGAACTGCCAGTCCTCTGTCCTCACTTCTAATTTTTCCTCCGCCCTTCCCCTCCCTCCTTTATTTTTCAGTCTTGGTCTAAACTCCTCATTCAACCTGTTTAATAGCAGTATAGCAGCAAACCTTTGTTAATATATGAACAGAAGAGGGAGTTAATATTTCCCAATAATCTACCAAAGTAGTAAAAGGATGCTACCCCCCCTCCACCCTTTACATGCATAATAACAGAATGTTACTAGGCCTTGGTGGTAATAAATGGGGAACAGAAGTTTGAACTTAGTTTAGCTTCCATTGCAAATGGGGTGTGTGTGTGGGGTCTGGCTTTAACCTGGGCCAGAATATTCCAATTCCTTTCAATTTTTTTGGCCCTGGAACTCCCACAATCAACCTGAACCTGGTGGCCAATTTTGAGATTCCTAGATTTATTCTTTGAGTTATGCCTGCTGCAAATGGACAGACAAATGGGCATGCAGGTTTTAAAAATTATTATACATGCATGGTTACAGCCAGCAAAGTCCCTTGCTTTGTTATGATATTTGGTTTGGATCAGTCATATGGAGAGGAAGAAAATGGAATCTTTGTCGGGGGGAAGGGGGATGGTGACTCTCAGCAGCCCTGCCAATGTGGTGAGGTAAACTAGGATTAATGAAACGTATAAGTGTCATGAACTGAATAGGTCAAGCTAGCCTGATCCTGTCATATCTTGAAATTTAAACTGGTTTGGTCCTGGTCAGTGGCTGGTATGGGAAACCAGCAAGAAATAACAGTGTTGCTCATGCTAAAGCCAGGAAATGGCAAACCACCTCTGAACAGCTCTTGCCTTGAAAACCCTATAGAGTTACCATAAATCAGCTGTGACTTGACAATAACAAATATACGTAAAACTAATAACAATATATGAGGCACAGTTTATACATTTTATTGGAGCTAACTACTTTAGTTTGTTCACTTTTTAAACATCCCAGGAGCTATGAGCTTAGAACTTCCAAAACATCTAAAAGCCACTGGAAAAGTTTTCAGCTCTAGATCACACCTGCAGAAAGAAGCTGAGGCACCCAGTTCTATTTGCACTATATAATCTTAGAAATGTTTTCTGGTTTTTTCTTTTTCTTTCTACAAGCAAAAATGTAGTGAGTGATAGGAGATTAAAATGTTTGAAAGCTGGTCAATTAGATCCATAAACGATCTACATGTCTTCATTTACTGAAGTACAGTAAAAGGATTGAATGTTTAAATGAAAAAGCAGCCATTAAGTATGTAGAATAAACAGAGCTATCTTCAGAAAGCTTGAAATATGAATCCACATCATGTGGGGGGGAAGCACATTTCACCGTAGATGAGACTCAAATCCACAATTCTTAGTTTAAAAGTTTACTGTATTATCCATGATGTCACCAGACCTTTACCAAAAATTTGGCTGACATTCTCACTCAACTCTCTAGTAGTATATTCTTTCTATATGCAAAATCATCTATTTGTCTATACTAACACATGGTTTTTTTTAGTCCAATGGC